CCCAAAGTGCTGGGATTACAAGCTTGAGCCACCGCGCCCGGCCCAGGGAAGCATTTTCATTGTAACTCAAGGGCTCTGTAAACAAATAGCCAACACAATGTCCTGTTTCGGTGTTTTAATAAATAGAAGAGTCCCCTTGAGATGTTCGAAACCCTTCCTGTGTGGAGGAGACAGCCGGTGCGGGTGCTGGCCCTTTTTGGGGACATCAAGAAAGGTGAGTCAGTGACGTTCCAAAGACATGTGGGAAGACACCTCCACACACCTGGCTGCCTCGCAGGCCACGAACCCAGGGTCCCCACACCCTCCTCCACCTCAACCTCCACCCACCTGACTGTCTCTCACCCCCGGGGTCCCTACACTCCTCCATCTCAACCTCCACCCACCCCCGGGTCCCCACACCCTCCTCCACCCAAACCTCTGTCCCCAGGCTGGCTACCTGCTGGTGTCCTCCACCCTGGGCCTGTGCTGAGGCCTTTGGAAATCCCACTTGTCTGCTGGCCCTGCAGGCAAGGCAGAATCCCTGAAGACACTCCCTCACCTCTGGCCATCTCCTTAGGGATGGGTCCCCCTGGGACATCTGCTAATGCCACAGTGCCTCACTCAGCCTCACTCGGGGGTGTGTATCTGCCCCATGCAGCTGACCGGGAGCCTGATCCCACAGCCCCCATAGACTGCCCAGGTCATGCTGCCCAGGCGGGGCTGAGGAAGCCCGGGCTTCCTCCAAGGTGGGTCCAGGGCTCTGCGGCTCACAACAGCTGCACAGTGGAGTGGACTCCACCGCTCTGGATTCCTAACCAGCAGTGACATCGCATTCCAAAAATGCCTGGTGCTCTAATACAGTGCTTGACTTTTTGGGGGAAGGGGGAGGAGTCTCTCTCTGTTACCAGGCTAGAGTGCAGTGGTGTAATCTCAGCTCACTGCAACCTCCACCTCAAGTGGAGGTTGATTCAAGGTTGATTCATCAGTTCAAGTGATGATTCCTCTGCCTCAGCTAGAGTAGCTGAGACTACAGGTGTGCACCACCACGCCCGGCTAATTTTTGTATTTTTAGTAGAGACAGAGTTTCACCATGTTGGCCAGGCTAGCCTTGAACTCCTGACCTTAGGTGATCCACCCACCTCTGCTTCCCAAAGTGTTGGAATTACAGGCGTGAGCCACCACACCAGCCTCAGTTCTTGACACTCTTAAATCAATACTTGGTGATGTCTGCTTGTTTAGCTTATTATGAGACAAAACCTCCGTCCTAAATCCTCTGCCACATCACCAAAAAGATGAAGTCCGGCCGGCTTGGTGGCTCACGCCTGTAATCCCAGCACTTTGGGAGGCTGAGGCAGGCAGATCAACTTGAGATCAAGAGCTGGAGACCAGCCTGACCAACATGTTGAAAACCCATCTCTATAAATAAACAAATAGCCAGGCGTGGTGGCACATACCTGTAGTCCCAGCTACGTGGGAGGCTGAGGCAGGAGAATTGCTTGAACCCAGGAGGTGGAGGTTGCAGTGAGCCAAGATCGTGCCACTGCACTCCAGCCTGGCACCTGGTGACAGAGCAAGACTCTGTCTCAAAAAAAAAAAAGTTTTGTGGATATGGTGACTTGCTGTGTTGCCCAAGCCAGGCACAGTGGTTCACGCCTGTAATCCCAGAACTTTGGGAGGTTGAGGCGGGCAGATCACCTAAGGTTGGGAGTTCAAGACCAGCCTGGCCAACACGGTGAAACCCTGTCTTTATTAAAAATACAAAAATTAGCCGGGCATGGTGGCGCATGCCTGTAATCCCAGCTACTCGGGAGGCTGAGGCAGAAGAATCGCTTGAACCACAGAGGTGGAGGTTGTGGTGAGCCGAGATAACGCCACTGCACTCCAGCCTGGGCAACAACGGTAAAACTCCATCTCAAAAATAAATTGTCTCCTTAACCGTAAGAGGGTCCTCTGATCGGCCACCAGCACTTCGAGTCCCTGTAGTGGCACAATCCATGCTCACCCGCTGGGCCTTCTGGTCTCCTCATGCAGAGCTGACGAGTCTGGGCTTTTTGGGAAGCGGTTCTGACCAGGGGCGACTGAAGCACTTGGATGATGTCACAGACGTAGTGAGGAAGGACGTGAGTACCGATGCCCACTTCAGGCCCGCCGTGCGAGCAGGGATGCGGGATCCCTCAGGCAATGCCAAGGATGAGGTGGGCAAGGAGGTGGCAGCAGCGCGGGGGGAAGCCACGAACCCCTGGGCCTCTCAGCAGCCCGGTGCGGGTCCGGGGTCTGGCAGGGGTCAGCCCCCTGACAGCAGCGCAGGGCTGAGCAGCAGGCTGTTGTCCCAGCACTGCCAGAGCCAGAGCAGGGCAGCGGGGCAAGCATCTTGTCCAACACCTGGAAAGCCAACGGGCCAGTTTCCACTGCCTGTGATGGGGCACGCTCCTGCAAGGAGGGGCTGGACCCCACTCCACCCTCTAAGATGGAGAGGCTGAGCCTTGACCTGGACAACCGGTCGCTGTTTGAAGGCGTCCTCCTGCCACTGGAAGATGACAGGGCTCCAGCCGTGGGTTCCCTCTGCAGGCCGGAGCCCCCGCTGCCCTGGCGTCTTCCCATGCTGCTGTTAGGGAAACCCATGCACCCACCTGTGTGCAGGTCTTTGGGGGTGCCAGCCTGGCACCAGCAGCCCCCATCAGCTCTGCTGTCCACACCCTGCATGCCTTTTCTTCACAGTAAAGCTGTCACTTGGGGACCCTCACATAGCACCTGCCGTTAACAGGTTTCTCCACTGGCTACATCGCGGGAGGATGCAGCAGAGGCACCATGAGGGGTCTGGGGCTAACGGGATTCCGGCTGTTATGTGATTTGAGGGGGGTCCAGGGAAGCGGGGTCTGTTCTGGACTCTGGTGCTGTCAGGAGATCGAGTCTCTCTCTGTTGCCCAGGCTGGAGTGCAGTGGCACAATCTCAGCTCACCACAACCTCCACCTCCCAGGTTCAAGCGATTCTCCTGCCTCTGTCTTTCCGAGTAGCTGGGATTACAGGCGCACCATGGCCAGCTAATTTTTTGTATTTTTAGGAGAGACAGGGTTTCACTATATGGGCCAGGCTAGTCTTGAACTCCTGACCTCAGGTGATCCACTCGCCTTGGCCTCCCAAAGTGCTGGGATTACAGGCATGAGCCACCGCGCCCAGCTGTTGATGTTTTCTGAAGAAGATTATGAAGATTATGAAGCCAGCGCTGCCCACAGCCCCACCTTGGTCACTTTCGTGGCTGAAGGGCACCCTTGTCTTGACTGTGGGGTGGCTGCGATTTGTCTTCCAGCTTAGCCATGGAGCAGCCTGGTCACAGGTGCTCTGCAGGAGCTATTTCTGTCCGGCAGGGAGCAGCTGTGCGGGCACTGCCTGCTGTGTTCACACAGGACAGAGTCACCTCCTCGGTTGCTCTGCGGTGTTGGGGCTCCCGGGACTGGTTCTCCAAGGGCAATGTGATGACAGACAGAAAAACCAAATTCTGCCAAAGTACTTAAACAGGTTTATTCTGAACCATGGTCCGGGAAACAGTCTCGAGAGGTCCCAAAGAAGGGCACCCAAGGCGCTCAGGTACAATTCGGTTTTATACATTTCAGAGAGACGGGAACCGCAGATAGAATCAGAAATCCATACACAGGTCTGGTGCGGTGTCTCACGCCTGTAATCCCAGTACTTTGAGCTCAGGCATTCAAGACCAGCCTGGGCAACCTCATCTCTACCAAAAATACAAAAACATTGGCGGGTGTGGCGGTGCTCACCTGTGGTCCCAGCTACTCTAGAGGCCGAGGCAGGAGGATTACTTGAAAACAGGAGGTGGCGGTGAGCCGAGATCTCGCCATTGCACCACAGCCTGGGTGACAAAGTGAGACCCCATCTCAAAAAAAAATCAATAAATCAAAAAATCAATAAATAATCAATACATAGAAGGTGCACATTGGCTTAGCCCCAAAAGGTAGGATATCTTGGAGCAGGGCTTACAGGTTATAGGTGGGTTTAGGGATTCTTCAGTTGGCAGTTGGTTAAAAGAGTTAAGCTGCCGGGCGCGGTGGCTCAAGCCTGTAATCCCAGCACTTTGGGAGGCCGAGGCGGGTGGATCACGAGGTCGAGAGATCGAGACCATCCTGGTCAACATAGTGAAACCCCGTCTCTACTAAAAATACAAAAAACTAGCTGGGCGTGGTGGCGCGTGCCTGTAATCCCAGCTACTTAGGAGGCTGAGGCAGGAGAATTGCCTGAACCCAGGAGGCGGAGGTTGCGGTGAGCCGAGATCGCGCCACTGCACTCCAGCCTGGGTAACAAGAGCGAAACTCTGTCTCAAAAAAAAAAAAAAAAAAAAAAAAAAGAGTTAAGCTTTGCCTAAAAACTTGGAGTCAGTAGAAAGGAATGCTTAAGTTAAAATAAGGAGGTCTGCTGTCTGTCGGGTGATGCCATGGCAGAGTCACCGTATATCGGGTCAAAAACACCCATTTAACAAGCTTTTGTGGTTTGTGAGGCGTGATTCCCCCACGCTCCTTAGAAAGGAATTTGGGCAGAATTCAGTCCCCAAACTCGCAGCATAGTCTTCTCCTCTGGGCTCCAGGCAGGCAGCCCCTGAGGCTAGTGGCGGCTGTGGGTGGCTCTGCCCTCGTGGGCTCCACTCCGTGGCTTGCCCCGGCCTGCGGGTCCTGCCAGCTGAGCGGGGTCCACTCTGGGGACCTCTGCTGCCTCCGTGCCCATGCCTTCTCTGCTGCAGGTGGAAGAGTGGGGCCCGTTCGATCTCCTGTATGGTGCCACACCTGCCCCCGGCCACGCCTGTGACCATCCCCCCGGTGAGTGATGATGCTTCAGAAACGGCCTGCGGTCAGCTCCAGGTCCCCAGAAAGCCTGCCCCCAACCCTGTTTCCTCTCCCCGCCCCCCCCCGTCCCCACCACATGCTGGGCAGAAACTGCGAAGTGTCTGCATTTTTTTAAAAACAGCTTTATTGAGGCATCACTGACGGTAAGTTGCACACATTCAGTTGCACAACTCCATGAGTTCTGACCTAGCTGTTACCCACACACCCTCATCATGAGCATGAGAGTGAGCGATCCCGTCACCACGGGCTCCCCACTGGCCCCGTGCAGCCCCCAGCTTGCCCACATCTCTGCAGCTCATGTGTCCTTTGGAGCTTCCTCCAGAAGGCGGTATTTGCACCAGGCAGGCGCTCTGCCATTAGCTCCTGGCTCACTCGGGTCGCCAACGCCCGGCCTGCCGGGGAGGGGGGTCCTTGCGCCTCTGTGGCTCTGGCACAGCGAGTCCCACGGCCTCGGGCCTCTATTGCTGCTGGAGGGGCGGAGCTGCCACAGGGGCCGGGAACCCCTCAGAACCAGGCCGGCACATCCTCTAGACACCCCCAACCCTGCTCTTGTGCCTCAGGCCCCTTGGGCCCCCGCCCAGATGCACCTGAATATCCCCAGACCCCTCAACCCTGTCCCCCCAGCCTGGTACCTGTTCCAGTTCCACCGGCTCCTGCAGTACGCACGGCCCTCGGGCAGCCCCCGGCCCTTCTTCTGGATGTTCGTGGACCATCTGATGCTAAACAAAGAAGACCAAGACCTGGTGTGTCGCTTCCTGGAGGTGTGTACGGGGCCGGGTGGCCCTCCCTCTGGCCCATGGCCACGTGAGGGAGGGGTTGTTGGGGTGGAGCTCAGCCTACACCCCAGACTCCGGGCCAGGCCCCCTGTGGCCACTGCTTTCCAGGTGGGCAAAGGACTCAGGAGAGCTGCCGTGTGGCCCAGGCAGAGGCTGTGGTACCTGGGACACCACACTCCTTCCAGGATGGCCTTGGAGGGTGGTCCCACCTCACACCTCTCCCTTGCTCGCAGATCTCCGCCTTGGGGGCTCACTTCCTCCACCCCGCCCCCTCAGTCTGCACACACACGTGCTCGTGACACCACGCCCACTCCCAGGTGCACACACTTGCCTCACATAGGCACACCACACGCACGCAAGCTCACACCACACACTCACATAAACAGCCTTTCTTCACACGTCTGAATCCCAATTATCAGAGGAACCACTTTCAGGCTCAGTGATGGATCCGTCTGGGACGGACAGGCCGGGTGTTCCAGATACTTCCAGGGTAGGGGAGGGACCGCCACACCTCAGCCATAGGAGACAGGCCACAGGAGACAGGCGTGAGGCTCAGGAGGGGGACGTTCCTCATGCTCTCGGTTCCATGGAGCGGCAGCAACCAGTGAGGGCTCCGCCCACCGAGTGGGCAGCACCTGTGGGCTGGAGATTTGCTGAGGTCTGGGCAGGGCTGAGGTTACGGGTGAGGTCGAGAGTCCAGACAGGGTCAAGGGTCCAGGGTCTTTTGGTGCTGGGAAAGACCTTTTCCTTTGGTTCACCAAGGAAACGGTGTCTGTCTAGCAGAGCCAAGCCCAGAGCAACCTCGGTCGGCCCTCAGGGGCACCCTGAGAGCCTGGAGACACCGAAGCCCAAGGACGCCCCTTTCCTCATGGAGAGACTGGGGTCCAGGAAGGCGGGGTCCGTTCTGGACTCCGGTGCTTTCAGGAGACGGAGTCTGTTTCCCAAACTCCATGAACTGAGAATCACAAGGTCTGTGCTTTTAAAACAGGAGGCTGTTTCTCTAACGTGAGGACAGCCTGCAAGGCTTTGTTCCCCAGGCCGGGAAGCATGGCTTCTGCCAAGACCAGAGCCACTGCCAGGACCAGAGCCAGGAGGAGGCGCTTGGAAGGACAGGGGTGGCCAGGGCAGGGGCTCCGTGCTGAACGAGTTATAAAGGGCCCCTGCTGTACGAATACTGAACAAACGTGCGTGTCAAACATGGGGTCAAACATGACCCCACGGTCACACACATCCACATACACATGCTCAGTCACACTGTCACATGCTTACAGCAAACGTGTGTAACATGCGGCCTGTGTTCATGCTGGGGTGGAGCCTTCACATGAGACTCTGTCGCAGTGAGGCCCTGAACGACAGAGGTCATCTCAGGACACGAAGGCCCTCAAGTGTGCAGCCTCTGCAAACTGGCCGGAGCCGGTCCACGGTGGGGGTCCCTTATCAGGAGGAGGCTCCTGAAGTCAGTGTCCCGCCCAGGCAGAGCTGTGGCCATGGCGGTGGAACGGGGTCAGCTGGCGTCTGCGGGTGGAGGAGCTGCAGGCCTCTGAATCTTGCTCATGGGGGGCCAGTGCGTGTGTAGCCACTGGAGGAAAATCGGAGGCTGTGGCGGTGCTGAGGGCAGGGTCCGCCCTCTAGGTGTGGGGCACGGTGCTGAGGGCAGAGTCCGCCCTCTAGGTAGGGGCACGCGGCTCCACCTTTGCCTGGCGTGCCTGAGGTCCTGTCTGTAATTTGGTGTCTTATTGCCACAGAGTCTGTTCTTCGGTTTAAAATGATTCATCAGCTGTTTTCTCCAAAGGTGATGTGTAAGAAAAAGGTGGGGGCGTAGAAAGTTGGTCGACCGCACAGGGCCATTGGCAGCCGAGGCCAGTGGGCCCGTGGCGGGGGCGCTTACCATCCAGGTCCCATGACCCACGGCCACCTTTCCCGCCCCCAGATGGAGCAGGCCACCATCCCGGATGTCCGCGGCGGAGTCCTGCAGAGCGCTGTCCGAGTGTGGAGCAACATCCCAGCCATCAGGAGGTATTTCCCGGGCAGCTGGAGCCGTTCAGGGCCAGGGGGACCCAGAAGTGGAGTTCACCAAGGAAACAGTGTCTGTCTAGCAGAGCCAAGCCCAGAGCAACCTCTGCCCTGGTGGGGACTACGGTTGGCCCTCAGGGGCACCCTGAGACCCTGGAGGCACAGAAGCCCAAGGACGTCCCTTTCCTCTTGGGGTCCTTCTCCAGTGCTGGCTCTCAGCTTCTTGGGGTCCAGCCCCTGGAAACCCTTATGCCTTCACGGCCTGGCCCTGGATCAGCTGCAGCCTCCAGGCTTTCCCTCCCTGTGGCCTCCCCACCTCCCTCCCACACCCACAGGCTCCTCATGTGTGCTCACACTCAGCCACACTCACACAACGCACACGCTCCTCCACACACCTGCGTGCTCATGCAGTCATTCCCACGGTCACACTCATCCACACACGCACATGCTCAGTCACACTGTCATGCTCACAGCACACACACTCATGGCTCACACACAGTCATCCCCACGGTCACACTCATCCACACACACATGCTCGGTCACAGTCACATGCTCACAGCACACACACGGCTCACACACACACAGTCATCCCCACTCACTCATCCACACAGGCACATGCTCAGTCACACTGTCACATGCTCACAGCACACACACGACTGGCATGTACATCCACACATGTTCACATGTGCTCACTCACACAAGCACAGGCACACATGCATCAGTCTCACACCCACCCATACGCTTGCACCCCCACAGCACACTCGGCCGCCCTCCTTACCTTTTGGCGCCTTAAGCACACGGCCCTGCTCCACACGCCCTCCCGACACCCACCATGGTCTCTCCCAGCTGCTCACCCCCTTTGGCAGCCTTTCCAAATGGCCCAGACCTCACACCCCACAGCCAACCGCCCGTCCATCCCCACTCCCACACCTGCCTGGCGTGCCCAGCGTGCACATGCATTCCTGTGGAACCAGCGCCTTCTGGCTCAGCTGAGTCATGTCTCTTCCGGAGTGAGTTCTGGAAACTTCTTCCTCTCACCTCTCCGGTTCTGGCATTCTCTGAGCTGCCCACCATGCCATGATCATCCTGTGGCCTGGCACCTGCCAAGGCGTGGTGCCTGCAGGTCCTACTGGCCTGGCCTCCCTGGATTTGAGTTTGAAGAGCTTGGTCAGAATGCATCTCTTAGAAGCCCTCTCGCTGCATGCGTCCCTACAACCTCCCCCTAACCCTAGGCCTGCTGCCCGCCACGTCACTCCTTGGGGGGCCGTGCCAGGCTCTGTGGGGCTGGGTGAGCAGGGGTGAAGGTGGGGGCAGACCCAGCAACACCTGTTTGCACTACAGGCCACACCTCACCCGCTGTCTGGCCCGAAGGCTCCTTAGCCACACGTGTCCACACAGTAGCCAGAGGACAGCGCCCCATCAGGGTCCTTACGTGGCGGACCCAGGGTCGCAAGGCTGCTCCACCAAAGGGGCCTTCCTCCGCTCCAGTGGCCACACCTGCGGCCCCTGCAGGGTTGGGCCCTGGGCTGGCAGCCGCCTCTTCCCAGACCCCCCTACCCTGTTCTGAGCGAGGCCCTGCAGGGCTCTTCCGAGGGCTGCATGCACCTGCGCCCTGTCCTGGGGTCACATGGTTCCCAGAAGGAGGCTGGCAGCTCCTTCCCACAGGTTTGCCTCCCAGGCTCCGGGTTTCTCCACAGACGTGAGACACACCCCCTCACTGAAAGGAGAAATCATTTTGCAACAGGTGGCCACCATCACCCCCAGGATGGTCAAAGACAGTCCCCACTGCCCAAGGGACGGTGCTGGGAAGAGGGGACACTATCCAACACTTCACTCAGCCTTCACCCCAAAATAAGCTGAGGAAGGTTCCTGGGCTCCGGTAGAGTGGCTGGGAGCGTGAGAGGGGGTGTTGGTGCCAAGTCTCCAAAGCCCCTCTTCCCAAGGGCCCCTCACACAGCAGGCTGGCAGGGGGCCCCTTCCTCTCCCCACCTCCCCTCCTGCGCTCAGGGCTGGGGCCTCCAGCACAGGCAGCCGTGGGAACCCAGGGGGCGGCCTTTGGAATGGAGTTCCCCAGGAATGAGGATTTGGCCAACCTTTGCCCAGAGTCTTGCCCTTTCCTCTTCGGGGGCGTTGCCCAGGGATGGTGACGTCCTCTAGTGAGGGCCCTTGAGCTTGCTGTTCACACGGAGTGAGACCTCACACGGAGCTGGATTCATTTCTCAGAGTACAAAACTCTGATCCTTGGGAACCCTGCCTGTCACCCCCAGTCTGCTTCCCAGGGGATCAGATCCCCCGCCGCCCCCCGCCGGTGGAGACAGGAAACTGGGCAGCCACCTGGTCCCCTGCTGGTTTTCCACCTCCAGGGGAAAAACTCCCAGAATGGGGCGGGGACTTCCGGGAATCTTAGGCGCCTGGGACAGCTGAGAGACAGGCTGGTCCCCTCATCCCGGCAGCGCTGTGTCCCCAGCCGGGTCTCCGGGGCGCTGCGCCAGCTCACAGCTCCCCTCCCCTCTCCCCTTCCCTCAGCAGCAGGCACTGGGCCCTGCCTTCGGAGGAAGAATTGTCCGTGCTGACTCAGAACCGACAGAGCTCCAAGCTCCCAGCCCAGCGGCCCACCAAGCTGCTGAAGAACTGCTTTCTCCCCCTAAGAGAATATTTCAAGTATTTTTCAACAGAACTCACTTCCTCTACATAAATGAGTCACTATACTGTGAAAAGTAAAAGACTTCCTAGAACGAGCCCAGCTCTCCTGACGCTGTCTTCCTTTGCTCGTCTCTGGCTTCCTCACGTCGCTGCAGGCCCACGCTCCGCAGGGTTCTGGAGACCCGGCGTCTGTCCCCCACCACCCTGGCTCGGGGACAGGGCGAGGCTCGCGCCGCTGTGCACAGACCGCACGTCGTGGGGTGCGTTGCACTTCAGAAAGCGTTTCTGTGTTCTAGTTGGAAGCTAAAATATAGGTATTGGTCCCCGTCTAGTATAGGCACAGCATCTGTCATCCTGCGGGGCATGGGTGGAGGCGGGAAATGGGCGGGAGACATCTGAGAAGCGCCTGCTTCATGCTGACTGGGTCCCATGGGACGCACTTATTGGCGGAGGCTTCCCCACGAAACCGAGACCGCTGTCTGCTTTCTTGTTTTTTCTTGTTTTTTTTTTTTCTCTTTTTTTGTTTTTAGATGGAGTCTCGCTCTGTCACCCAGGCTGGAGTGCAGTGGTGTAATCTCGGCTCACTGCAACCTCTGCCTACCGGGTTCAAGCGAGTCTCCTGCCTCAGCCTCCTGACTAGCTGGGATTACAGGTGTGCGCCACCATGCCCAGCTAATCTTTGTATTTTTAGTAGAGATGGGGTTTCGCCGTGTTGGCCAGGCTGGTCTTGAACTCGTGACCTCAAGTGATCCACCAGCGTCAGCCTTCCAAAGTGCCAGGATTACAGGCATGAGCCACTGCGCCCGGCCACTGTTTGCTTTCGTAGAGAAAACCAAACAACCTGGAAAGTGCAGGACCCCAGCCTTGGAGGGCAAAGGAGGGGCCTGCTGGACCACGCCGCAGAGACCAAGGCCAGGTCCGCGCACAAAGGGTGTCACCTGGGTCGTACTCCGGGTGATGTTGCTTGCAGAAAGCAGGGCTCTTCCTGGCCCGCTGCAGTTTGAGTCTGAGTGAGGATAAGCCCACCAGAAAGCTCTGCCTCAGGCTGGGCTCAAATCACATGAAATGAATCCTGCAGGGGACCTCTGGGGTCTGCATGGGACTATTAGTGGTACGTAAAATGCTTGTGGGAGAAAGGTTAAAATTGGACCTTCTGAAGATTAAAAATATGCGTCTTGAAGTAGAGTCGACATCTTCACTTGAACTGACATGGCGGGGTCCTCTGTGGACAGTCCTGGACTCTGGCAGCACAGGTCTCACGTCCAGGGATGGATGCAGTGAGCTCTGTAACGACCTGGGGTCCCTGACACCACAGAAAACAGGGGAGGGCAGGTGAGGCCATCCAAGGGCAAATGAGCCCTCTGGGGAGGCTGTGCTCAAGCTGTCACTCAAAGGAGGCTGAGGCCATCACGAGCCAGGCCCGTGGTGAGAGCTCTGGGCAGGGCAGGTTGGGTCCAGGCTGTGTCCACGCAGGGCACCGGTGTCCCAGGCCCAACACAACTCATGCTCACTTTCCGCTGGGCTGCTTTAAAGCAGGGACACAGGGTGCTGAGGGGCTTCCTGCCCCTCAAAATGCACTTTCCTTCTTTGGTTCTCTCCCCAACCCTCAGAACTGTCCACACCACCTTGAGATGCTCCATGTATTTTATTTCAAGGTTTTATTTTTTGAGATAAGGTCTAGCTCGTCTCCCAGGCTGGAGTGCAGTGGCACAACCACAGTTCACTGCAGCCTGCAACTCCTGGGCTCCCATGGTCCTCCAGCCTCAGCCTCTGGAGTAGCTGGGACTACAGGTACGTGCCACCATGCCCGGCTCATTTTTTAAAATTTATACAGATAGGGTCTTGCTCTATTGCCCAGGCTGGTCTCAAAATCCTGGGCTCAAGTGATCCTCCCGCCTTGGCCTCCCTATGCGTTTGGATTACAGGTGTGAGCCGCTGTACCTGGCCCTCTAAGTATTTTAGTTTTACACATAGGACCAGCCTCATGGTCCCGTGCTCAGCTGAACAGCGATCCCCCAAAAGATGCCCACGTCCCCATTCCCGGATCCCGTGAATGCTATATGGCAAAGGAAGAACTTTGCTGGCTGAATTAAATTGGTCCTATGTGTAAAACTAAAATTAAATTGGGGTGGGAAGCCTCCCTAGGTCACCCAGGTGGGTTCTACCTGTCATCCCAAAGGGCCTCTGAAGAGAGGGGCAAAGCGAGGCTTGACCACACAGAGTAGCCACGTGGCCATCGAGGGAGAGGCTGGAGTGCTGCAGACACAAGGCAGGGACGCCCAGGGCCACTGGGCGCTAGGAGAGGTGCGGGGGATGCTCCCCTAGCACCTCCACCAGGCAGACTTCGGGCTGCTGCCCTCCAAGGCCCAGAGAGGCTTTGTGTTGTTTTGAGCCAGCAAGCGTGTGGTTACTAGTTCCAGAGCAGACAGGAAACAGACCTACAGTTGTGCACCACATAACGGTGCCAACACGCAATGCGACGGTGCTCCCATAAGGTCACAATTCGGTGTTTTTACTGCATCCGTTCTATGTTTACACGGATTTAGATACACACATACCACTGAGTCGCAGGTGCCTACGCCATTCAGCGCAGTCACCTGCTGCACAGGCTTGTGGTCCAGGAGCAGCAGGCGTGACACGCGGCCCCGGCGTAGTGGGCTGTGCCACCGGGCTCTGTCGGTGTGCATGCACCCCATGATGTTCACACAAGGACAGAATCACCCGAGGACGCATTTCTCAGACGGAACGAATCCTTTTCGTTAAAGAACATACGATGAACCCCCTAAGAGCAAAGATCTTCCTTTCAGCCGAGGCCGGTGCTGTCAGACGAAGGTTGCTGCGCTAGACCCAAAGGGACCGGGGCCTGGAGGCACACCGAGGCAGAGGTCAGAAGACCCCCACACCCTCTGAACGGCAGAGCAGGGCGCCCTGGGGCCAGGGGCATAGGGCAGCTGCTTCTACGACTTGCACCCAGAGTCTTGAACCCCAGGGTGCACAAATACAATTCCTGCTTGGTTCGCAGTGGGCCCCGGACACTGCCAGAGGGCCTTCTCTCCACTCTCCTGGAACAAAAGCGCATCCTGCCTGCCGGAGAAACAGTTACGGTTGGCGGGAAACTAAAACCTTCCTTTGACTACAGGAGACTTCCCAAGGGGTTTTCTGTTTCTTCATCTGAAACCCTCTGCGTGTGGTAACCAGGTACCAGTGTGCTGCGTGTTCACTCACGACAACCCACATTCGTGTATATGTCACGGCGGGGGATGCAGGCCCCAGGAGGAAGGAACCTGCTCACCTGCTGAGGTCACACAGCTCGGAGCAGAAGAGGGTGGGAACCAGCCGCCACTGACCGTTGTCGCTGAGGATCCTGGGCCGCCCCGGCCTGCCTCAGTGTCCCCTTCCGACCCAGCAGCATTCCTGGCCCCTGCCTGGCTGTGCCCTCCACGCCTCGTCCCCTCTCTCGGGAGGACCTGCCTGCAGCACTTGGCTTGCTGGAGTCTCTGGTGTCCGCCCGGGAAGCAGAGCCTGGAGCTGCCCCCTCGGCCCCTCTCCCACCGCTCCCGGGCGGCACTGAGGCTTAGGGCAGATGAGTGGCCCCGCTCTTGGGAGACCTTAATTTGGGAGGCTGTGCTCCCCCAGAACCCAGTCCCCATCCTCCCACAACCCTCTCGCGGTATCCAGGGGCCGTCCCCCTCCCCGCAGTGTGGAAGGGATTCGGGTGAGCCCAGGGGTGGAGCCCTCCGCCAATGGTGGCGGCTTGGCCGGGACTTCAGCCGCAGGCGCAGAGGCGCGCGGAGCCCGGCCCGTCAATTAGGGAGGGCCTCCGGAGGAGGTGGCGCGGCCTGCAGCCCGCCCGGCGCACCTGCGCCCTCACCTGCCGCGCGACGCGGTCCCCTCCCTGCGGCCACCTGCCCCGGGGAGAGGAACCTCGGTCCCCAGCATCGCGACCCCTCCAGCCTCGGGGGTCCAAGCCGGTGCCCCTGAGCGTGTCCCGGGAAGCGCACGTCCACGCTGGCGCTGACAGGGGTTTTCTGGCTCCAGGGACCGGACGCGCCCCAGACAGTCCCGCTCTGACAGGGTTGCGCGCCGGACCTCCCCGGTGTGCGGACGCCGGTGCCTCGGCCCTGTTCAACTCTTCCCGCCGGAGGGCAGGCGCCCCCCGACCAACCATCTCTCATTTAGACCCCCCAACCCCCATCTCTCAGCCTGGCCCGGGAGGGGGAAGTCGCCGGGCTTCAGCGCTTCCTGCTCGCCCGCCCCCGCCGCCCCCGGCGCGCCCGGCCGCCTCTCTCTTCCGCCTTCTGGCTTTGTGCCCGGCCTCTGCTCCGCAAAAAACTTGCTTTCCACGGGGACAGGTTTCCGTATTTTTTAAGCTTTTGTCCACGGCGTTCTCTACCTCTTGGCTGAAGGGATGACAGCCTGCGGGGTGCCGTCTGGGGCCCCCGTCTCCCGGCGCCTCTGGCCTCCTCCGCGCGCCTGAGGCGGTGGGGGTCCCAGCAGACCAGAGACTGGGGCGCCGGGAGGAGGGTGCCCGGCTGCCCTGCCCAGCAGCCCCAGCCAGGCCCCTCCGGGGGCGCTTCTGCAGAAAGGGGGTCACATCCCCTCTGGGCCCCACCTTACTCCAACTGAGACCCCTAAACCAGGGGCCCCACTCGAAATCAGGGCCTCTTTGAGTCACCTGGGTTGTGGGGATCAGGGAGGGAGAGGGTGGGCTGGGGGCCGTAGGGGAGGGAGCAGGGGCCCTGGGTCCAACCCTCGGTTGCGTGGCGCCGCCTTTCCCAGACCCGCTGCCCCAGACTCCGGGCCAGACGCCACTGCCAAGGCTGACGAGCTCAGAGCCGGAGCCGCAGGCTGCCTTGTTGCCCGGCGGCGGCTCCTCGGTGCCAGTGTTAAGCAAACAGGCTGCGCCAGCGCCCTGCGTTCCTCTACACCGCTGAGGGAGCAAGGCCAGGTGGGGGTGGGCTGGGGCTGGCCCGGAGGGTAGAGCCCGCCCACCTGCCCTCCCTCCTTCCATTCATGCATGCATTCATTCAATCATCCACGCCTCTGCAGTAGCTGAGTTCACTCGCCCAAGTCCTGGAGATCCTTCGAGCGGAGCGGGCCGGGGCTTGGCGCTCTCCTAGCGCGGCCTTGGGGCCTGGGTCCCCGGACCCCTCCTCAGGGAGGGCCGCACGACCGGGGCATTCTGCGCGGCGCGGGGAGAGGCCCTGGCCTCCCACGGTCCCCTCCCCCGCCGCGCCGGCCCCCGCAGCACCCCCAGCCCCCTTCCTCCCGGCACCTCCCACCCCTGCGCTTCCCGGGGCACCCAAGGCCTCCGGGTCCGCGTGCAGGCGGACGGCCCGACCTGCCTCTGTCCCGCCTCCAGCCGACGGGCACACTCGCCTGGGCAGAGCTGAACTTTCTGGAGCCTCTGCGCCCGGCGCGGCCTCGGTAACGAGAGGGAGTCGGGTCCCGGGCAGGGACGGGCCGGGGGCGGGGCAACCAGGGCAGACCGGGGCGGGGACACGACTGCCTCCCGCCCGCCGTGCGCTGAGCGCTCAGAGCTGGGGCGCAGCGGGAGCGCAGTTGGATCCGATCTCCCGCGCCCCGAGGTTGCGGTTCCCCGAGGCCTCCCGCGCCCCAAGTTCTCCGTGGCCCGAGGTCTCCAGCGGCCCGAGGTCTCCGCCAGCGCCATGCGGCTGAGCAGGTGAGCCGGGGAAGGAGCAGCGGCGCCGCGGTCAGTGGCGGGGTGGCTCGGCCCGCGCGTCCCGAGCTCGGCTCGGACGTGGGGCCTGCGAAGCTCGCTTGGAGGCGCCGGGCGGGCAGTGCGCACCCGGAGAGCGGGCGACGGTGGCACCGGGACGGCCGGCGGGGCGTGGACGGCAGCGGGCTGCGGAGGCCGGCACCGGGACCCACGGGAGGACACGCAGCCGTGCGGGGGCGGACCGGGGGCGGGGTCCCTGCTAGGGAAAGGGGACCGCGAACGCTGGAAGGAGGGAGGGAAGGGGGCGCACCCCGCACGCCCGGGTACCGGCGCTGCCTCTTCCACTACCTGGCACCACTGATTTCCCAGAAGATGGGTGAAGGAGGGAGCCGACTGGCCGGGCTTTCTCCAAGACCAGCCGGATGCTCACGGTCTGGCGACACGCCCTCCCCCACACACGTGGGATTCCCCGCAGCCTGGCAGCTGGTCCGCGCTGGGGAAGGTGGGGCTGCCTAAACCGGGAGTGACAGCTTCCTCCTGGCTTTTTGTGAAAATATGCTTTGTGCCACCCAGGTCCTAGGGTTCGCAGACCGTGCTTCCCTGGGTGAACCGGTGAGGCCTCTGACCCTAGGGGTGCCTCCCGCATAGCCCAGAACTGGCTCACACCTGGGTCACACTGCTCAGTACCCCTCCTCAATAGAAATGCATGCAATTATGATCCTGCCCTAAAGAGAAAGCATTTAAAAATCTGCGAGTGTCACAGCCCTTCCATGTCCTAGCTCTCCACGACTCGCACCTTGAAGCAGGTGACCCTGTCTGTGTTGGGTCTTGAGGCAAACTCAGGGTTGGGGGGAGGGAGGTTAGACGCAGGGGTGCTGAGGGCCCAAGGAGAGGACACAGAGGCTACTGGGTGGGTGGCACCCAGGGAGGGGATAAGCTGGAAAGAGCTTGGAGCAGCTCCCCCGGCCCAGAAAGGCCCCCCAGTGTCCAGAGGAGGGCTCCATAGACAGGATGGGCCTTGTGAGCTGGTGAGGAACCTGGGCACTGTGGGAGAGAAATGGGGGTGCAGCGGGGTTCTCACAGCTGTGGTTTAGAAGGTGGCCCTGGGGAGATGCCTGAAGGGGCTGAGGCTGGAGGCAAGGAGGCCCGGGTGGAGGCAGGAGACCTGCTGGAGGCCATCACGACCATCTTTCAGCCAGAATGGCAACCCCAACAGAGGGAATAGGAGAGAGAGGAAGGGCCGCCTGCAGGCTTCAAGAGTCACTGGTGGCCTGGGGCTCACTTTGGTGCGTGTGTGTTCCCTTGGGACACCTCCATGCAGACTCAGGCGATGGCCGTCATGGGTGGGGCCAGGGTTTCTGTGGCTCCAGGGTGCAGGGACAGGCCACTGGGAGGTTCCCACGAGACCAGCCTTTCACTTAGGAAGCCCCCAGGGTTTCCGAGGCAGAGGCCAGACAGAAGAGGGATGAATGTCTCCCAGACCTTGGAGGTGTCGCAGCATCAGAGGAGGTGTCCCTGCTCCGTGGGCTCCCACTTTGGTTTGGGGGACTGGGGCAGGCCACGAAGGGCCTCCATCCTGGGGCTGGCGGCAGGAGGTGGAGAGCCTGAGGCATGCAGGGTGCCAAGGCTCCCCGGCCCAAGATGGCAGGAGCACTGGAGTCACCAGGGGGATTTGCTGCCTGAGGCAGGCACCAGCTGTAGCAGGATCTGAAACAGGAGGAACCCAGGTTTTGTTTCAAAATGATCTGTGTTACCCACAAGGCTTATCCGCCACTCACCTGACCCACCCTGTCATGGGCACGCCTGATGTTCTCCGTCTCCCCAGCATTTTAAGTGAAGCTCCTGTTATATGTGCCCTGAAAGCTTTTTTATCTCTGATTTCCTAAAATTTCTTGGAATTTGTCCCCAGGAAGGCTGGACCAGCCTCAGGGGTGTCCCTCGCTCTCCTTCGTCCTCACATTGGCATCACTGTGTTTCTGGGGATTTGTCACCACCAAAGCTAGAGAGTGGCAGGAGGCTACCGGCCCCTCAGACTTGCGGTGCTGGGCAGGGGGGGTGGTCTTGGCTCCCGACCCCGAATTCCCATGGAGAACAGAGCCAGGCAGGCTCCTGTCTTCACATTTCTGTGATGGACGGAACTGCCTCTTGCCCGGGGAACCAGCCTGCTCCTATTTGGAAGATGCAGGTAACTCACCTGCGGCCCCACCTCACCTGCATTTCTGGTTGTTTTTTTCCAGTCCTGGACTGCTCTTCCTGCTCTTCACCAGCCTTCAAGCCGGTAAGTTCATGGGGTGCTTTGCCACCAGTGTGAGCACCCAGCTCTGAGATGGGCTGTCTGGCTATGTGGACTGCCGGCCGCAGGGTGCCAGGAGCAGCCTCTCCAGGCTCCTTTTTGCTTCTCAAGTGGCCCTTTGGAGAAAGTTGCTACCTAACCTAGGTTGCTGCACAGGATGGAAGCATTTCCTTAAAGGGAAACACTTCTGCAAACTCTGGAGTTCTTGTTTGATTTTGTGTTTGTTGCAGGCAGAATGCAGTTCCTCTGAGCCAGGGCTTCATGGGTCCTCTGGACTCCCTGTCCTGGGCAGCAGCCCTGCTGAGCCCTAAGGGCCACCAGACTCTAGAAGAGCCAGGAATAGGGGCAAGGCACCACAGCACAGACCCAAAGCCTTGCCAAGCCTTCCAGCCTAGAGTGCTTTGGAGGCAGGCAACACACGCAGATTTTCCCATAGGCGTTTACGTGGTTGTGCAAACGGTAAAGCCACCCTGTGTCTGTTACATTTATGAGAACTTTCCTGATGGAAGGGAGCAGCATTATAATGTAATTCTTGAGACATTGTTTTCCCTTAAATGCCTGATTTTTAAAGAATGTTTTAATCTGCATTAATTATAGACTCCCAAAAAGTAGTAAGAACAGTGCTGAGTAACAGAAACAATGCTGAGCCCAGCCCCTTGCTTAACGGGAGTGTGTCATCAAAGCCAAAGATTGACATTGGACTTCACCGTGAAATACCCACGCTTTTCAAGTTTCACTGCATTCCTGCATGTGCCTTGTTAATGAATTCTGAGCCACAGTTGGCATTTGAGGCTCGAAACGCAAAGCCTGCCCCAGACAGTAGCTTCATGGCCTGGGCATCGGCCTCAGAAAACAGATTTTGCACCTTTTGGGTCGTTGCAGATACTCAGGAGAAAGAAGTCAGAGCGATGGTAGGCAGCGACGTGGAGCTCAGCTGCGCTTCCCCCGAAGGAAGCCATTTCGATTTAAATGACATTTACGTGTACTGGCAAATCAGTGACACAGTGGTGGCTTACCACGTCCCGCAGAACAGCTCCTCCTCCGTAGCCAGCCGCTACAGGAACCGGGCGGCGATGTCGCCGGCGGGGATGCTGCAGGGCGACTTCTCCTTGCGCTTGCTCAATGTCACCCCCGACGACGACCAGAAGTTTCGCTGCGTGGTGCTGAGTAAATCCCGGGGATTCCAGACAGTCTTGGAAGTTGTGGTCACGCTGCATGTGGCAGGTAGGACCGTCAAGGCAGAGAGAGCTGGGTCCACCCGAGCGTCCCACCAGGGAAGAGCATGCACGAAATTGAAACCCCCTCCCTGCCTCATTCACTGTTTCTTCCAGTGAAGAACATTCTCAGCCGTGTTATCAGGCCTCTGTCTAACTTCAAGGGAAACTAAACAGCTGAAAAATCCTTAATGCATGACTTGTGGCTGCTTGGTTTCCCAGAAGAGCTCCTAGCCTTGCTGTCTTTGCCTTTTTTGAGTTGGTTTGTTTTTTGTGACAGGGTCTCATTGTTGGCCAGGCTGGAGCGCAGCAGTAGGATCACGCTGCAGCCTGGACCTCCCGAGCTCGAGTGGTTCTCCCGCCCCAGCCTCCTGAGGATCTGGGACTACAGGCACCTGACACCTCGCCTGGCTAATTTTCGATTATTTGTGGAAATGGGGTCTCACTATGTTGCCCAGGCTGGTCTCAAACTCCTGGCCACAAGTGATCCTCCTGCCTCACCTTCCCAAAGTGCTGGGATTACAGACATAAGCCACCGCGCCCAAACTAGAGTTTAAACAGTGAAATGTGAGAGGAGTGCACTAAATGAAAACCAGATTTAAGAGAAAAATTAGAGGCAGCCAAGGAGCTCTGGGCACTTCATCAGGGAGAACAGCCGTGTCCATTTCAGATGGACTGCGAGCCCCTGTCAGCATCGAGGTGAACCAGATCCAGATAAGGGGGTCCCAGAATAGCCGCTGGCCGTGGAATGGGGTCTGTGGGTGCCAGTCACTGCCCACCAGGCTCAGCAGTCTCTGGCCACTGGGACTGCCTTAGGGGACAGGGCCAAGCTGGCTGCTCGGACCACAGCTTCGGTCCTGGCCATGCCGGGCCACAGTGGGCTGCCTCCCCAGTGACCCGGCCTTGGCACCGTGTACCCTGTTTCTTGACCCGCAGGGCCTGGCATCTCTCACCACCTGTCTCCCTCCCACGCAGCAAACTTCAGCGTACCAGTCGTGAGCGCGCCCCGCAGCCCCTCCCAGGATGAGCTCATCTTCACGTGTATGTCCGTGAACGGCTACCCCCGGCCCAGAGTGTACTGGATCAACAAGACGGACGGCAGCCTGCTGGACCAGGCTCTGCAGAATGACACCATCGTGCTGAACACGCGGGGCTTGTACGACGTGGTCAGTGTGCTGAGGATCGCGGCGACGCCCAGCGTGAACATCGGCTGCTGCATAGAGAACGCGCTTCTGCAGCAGAACCTGACCGTGGACAGCCAGACAGGTAAGCTCGCAGGGTCTGCGTGCTGGCGCGCGCCCAAGACGGTGGGGCCAGGGCTGGCTTGGGAGACCCTCTGAAGCAGGAGACGCAGTGCCTTCAACGGACACAGCAGGACACCGAAAGGTGGTGAAAGGGAGAGGAGGAGGGAGGCGCACGTCACGTGGTGAGGACCACCGCGGTGTGTGGGAACAGGAGCGGCGCCGGGCCAGTGCACGTGGCTCAGTTTCCTTCTCCTGCAGTCAGTTTCACTGAACCTGCTTTACAGCTGAGGCTTGAACTCTGAGGCTGGCAACACTTCAGAATCCACAGGACTAGGCAGCAGCAGCCCAGGACGGAAGCCCACCCTTGCGCAGCCCCGGCCCAAGCTCCCTGCCTCTTGAGAAGACTGAAGCCCCCAGACCCGGGAATCCCACTGGGCATGGCTGCTGGCTCAGCTCCTCCCTGTGGAAGGGGACGTCTTCGTCAAGGCCACAGGCCCGTCCCATTTGTGTCCCCGTCTCCTGTGTCAGGATGAGAGGCAGAAGGAGGAGGCAGGAAATGACCAAGGAGGGGGCCTGGGGCCTGCTGGCTGCAGGAAAGGGGCTGCCGGCAAGACTCACCATGCGGCCCCGTGCAAAGCAAGAATGCAGGGCTCAGCCAGGCGCGGTGACTCACGCCTGTAATCCCAGCACTTCAGGAGGCCAAAGCAGGTGTATCACGAGGTCAGAAGTTCAAGACCAGCCTCATCAACATGTTGAAACCCTGTCCCTACTAAAAATACAAAAATTAGCCGGACATGGTAGTGGGTGCCTGTCATCCCAGCAACTTAGGAGGCTGAGGCAGAGAACTGCTTAAACCCAGGAGGCGGCAGTTGCAGTGAGCTGAGATCGCAGCATTGCACTCCAGCCTGGGCGACAGAGCAAGACTTCATCTCAAAAAAAGAAGAATGCAGGGCTCCTTGTTTCGGAAGCTTTGAGAATTCCAGACAGCGACCGCAGGCATCACACCAGCTGCTGGCCTTTCTGAGCTCAACCCTGGAAGCCTGCCCAGGTGCACACCCTGGAAGTCCATGCTGACCACCAGGATCCCCTGCAGAGCCCGACATTCTCTTTATTGAAATCGGGGCTTAGGCCCTGTGACTCACGTTCAGAGTCTGTGAGCTGCGTGCAGCAGAATGAGGGGCTGCCTCCAAAGCAGCCTCTGTTAAGTGCCTTCCAGCCCGCGTACACCCCCCAGAGCAGCCCGAGGGGTAGCAGAAGGTTCTCCCAGGTCACCGTCTCAAGCGCAGTCACACAGTGGGGTCATCTGGGCAGCCTGTGAAAGCCCCCGTGCCCAGCCCTATTGGACCGGGAGCTCTGGGCAGGCACCGGGCCTTGGGACAGTGTAAAAGCTTTGGAGTTTCAGGGTTGAGCATTGCCCAGGTGATCTCTCAGGTGTGTGTGGAGACACACCAGGCGCTCAGAACAAGCTCCAGGGGGTTGCCGCTACTAGTTTGCCAGTGAGGGGCTCTCTGAGGGGCAAAGGCATTGGACACAGAGCCCAGAGGCATTGGTGTCTCTGTGCCTTGCGGTGGAAAGGCAGAAGGGTGTGACACAGCAGCTCCTCAAAGAGCTAAGCGTGGGCCGGCCGCGGTGGCTCACGCCTGTAATCCCAGCACTTTGGGAGGCTGAGGCGGGCGGATCACTTGAGGTGAGGAGTTCAAGAACAGCCTGGCCAACATGGAGAAAACCCATCTCTACTAAAAATACAAAATTAGCCGGGTGTGGTGACACCTGCCTGTAATCCCAGCTACTCGGGAGGCTGAGGCAGGAGAATTGCTTGAACCCGGGAGGTGGAGGTTGCGGTGAGCCAAGATCACACCACAGCACTCCAGAGTAAAAATCCTCAAAAAAAAAAAAAAGAAAGAAAAGAAAAGCTAAGCATGGAAGTACTGTAGGACCCAGCATTCTCTCCTAGGGATATAGCCAAGAGGATTCAAACAAACGCCTGTCCATGAATGTTCATGGCAGCCAGAAGGTGGAAATCACCCGAACGTTCCTCGTGGTTGGATGGATGCACCAAACGTGAGCCGTGTGTGCAGGGAGAATCAGCCTGCTGCACGCTGCAGCGTGGAGAACCTCAAGGTATTATGCCAGTGACAGAGCCAGACACCGGAGGACAAGCCTGTGGGACTCCGTTTACACAAAGGCTCCAGAATAGGGCAAGCCGCAGAGACAGAAAACAAACTAGAGGCTTCCAGGGGTGGGAGGACAGCAATTCTCCTGCCTCCACCTCCCGAGTATCTGGGACCACAGGCACGTGGTTCCTCACCTGGCTATGTTTTGAATCTCTGTAGAGATGGGGTCTCACTATGTTGCCCAGGCTGGTCTCAAACTCCTGGACACAAGTGATGTTCCTGCCTCAGCCTCCCAAAGTGCTGGGATTACAGGCATGAGCCACCATACCCAAATGAGCATTTTAAACGTAAAATTTGAAGGGAGTGCTATAAAGCACTAAATGAGAACAAAATTTAAGAGAAAAATTAGCCGGGCGCGGTGGCTCAAGCCTGTAATCCCAGCACTTTGGGAGGCCGAGGCGGGTGGATCACGAGGTCGAGAGATCGAGACCATCCTGGTCAACATGGTGAAACCCCGTCTCTACTAAAAATACTAAAAATTAGCTGGGCATGGTGGTGCATGCCTGTAATCCCAGCTACTCAGGAGGCTGAGGCAGGAGAATTGCCTGAACCCAGGAGGCGGAGGTTGCGGTGAGCCGAGATCGCGCCATTGCACTCCAGCCTGGGCAACAAGAGCGAAACTCCGTCTCAAAAAAAAAAAAAAAAAAAAAAGAGAAAAATTAGAGGTCCCGGCTGTTCCGGGACCCCCTCATTTGGATCTGGCCCTTCTCGCTGCTGACACAGAGGCTCGCAGTCCATCTGAACTGGACACAACCATGCTCCCTGATGGACGGCCCCAGGACAGTGGAGGACAGGGAAGAGGCTGCACGTGGCCACGAGGTTGCCTTTCGGGGGTAATAAAACGGGTGCTGGAATTAGGTGGTGGTTATGATTGCACTGGCACGCTGAATTGTTCACTTTAAAATGGTTCATTTTGGGCTGGGCGTGGTGGCTCATGCCTGTAATCCCAGCACTTTGGGAGGCTGAGGCAGGTGGATCACCTGAGGTCAGGAGTTTGAGACCAGCCTGCACAACATGGTGAAAACGTGTCTCTACTAAAAATACAAAAATTAGCCGGGCACGGTGGGGCGTGCCTGTAATCCCAGCTACCCGGGAGGCTGAGGCCGGAGAATCACTAGAACCTGGGAAGCAGAGGCTGCAGTGAGCCGAGATCCCAGCACTGTACTCCAGCCTGGGCGAGGGAGCAAGACTCCATCTCAAAAAAAAGAAAAGCATAAAGTGGCTGGGCATATGGTGCACACCTGTAGCTACTTAGGAGGCTGAGGCAAGAGGATCACTTGAGCCCTGAGACCAACCAGGGCAACATAGTGAGATCTCATCTCTACCAAAAAAAAAAAGTTAGCCAGGCCTGGTGGTGCCCGCCTGTAGTCCCAGCTACTTGGGAGGCCAAGGTGAAAGGATTAATTGAGCCCAGAAGGTGGAGGCTGCAGTGAGTCGGGTTTGTACCACTGCACTCCAGCCTGGGCAACAGAGCAAGACCCTGTCTCAAACACTAAGTAAATAAACTAAAATGGTTAATTTTATGTTCGGTGACTTTCACCTTGATTTTTAAAAATCCAGCCGGGTGAGGTGGCTCACGCCTGTAATCCCAGTACTTTGGGAGGCCGAGGCAGGCAGATCACCTGAGGTCAGGAGTTCGAGACCAGCCTGACCAACATGAAGAAACCCCGTCTCTACTAAAAATACAAAATTAGCTGGGTGTGATGGCAGGTGCCTGTAATCCCAGCTACTCAGGAGGCGGAGGCAGGAGAATTGCTTGAACCTGGGAGGCAGAGGTTGCGTTGAGCCGAGATCGTGCCATTGCACTCCAGCCTGGGCAACAAGAGCAAAACTCTGTGTCAAAAAAAAAAAAAGAAAAGAAAAGAAAAGAAAATCCGGGCAGAACGTGTGCTTCCTGCCACACCCAGCCCTGTGGTCCTCTGGCTGTGGTCGGGGTTATTACCTCTCCCAGGTAGGACTGGGAGGAACAAGACCCCTGCAGGAAATGAAGCCGCTCTGCAGGAGAAAACCCTCCTCTCATCAGCCCGTTATTTTAAAACCTCAAAATCATGTCAGGGAAATACTTCCCTGCAGTACTTTCTTTTTTTTTTTTTTTTTTTTTTTGAGATGGAGTTTCACTCTTGTTACCCAGGCTGGAGTGCAATGGCGCGATCTCGGCTCACCGCAACCTCCGCCTCCTGGGTTCAGGCAATTCTCCTGCCTCAGCCTCCTGAGTAGCTGGGATTATAGGCACGCGCCACCATGCCCAGCTAATTTTTTGTATTTTTAGTAGAGACGGGGTTTCAACATGTTGACCAGGTTGGTCTCGATCTCTCGACCTTGTGATCCACCCTCCTCGGCCTCCCAAAGTGCTGGGATTACAGGCTTGAGCCACCGTGCCCGGCCAGTACTTTCTACTCAAGGATGAAAAAAGAAAGACCCTTTTTTTCCATGGTTTTTTTTTTTTTTTTTTTTTTGAGACAGGAGTCTTGCTCTGTTGCCCAGGCTGGAGTGCAGTGGCACAATCTCAGCTCACTGCAACCTCCGCCTCCCAGGTTTAAGTGATTCTCCTGCCTCAGCCTCCCGAGTAGCTGGGGCTACAGACAGGCATGCGTCACCACGCCTGGCTAATTTTTGAAATTTTAGTAGAGATGGAGTTTCACCATGTTGGCCAGGCTGGTCTCGAACTCCTGACCTCGTGATCCACTCACCTCGGCCTCCCAAAGTGTACAGGCGTGAGCCACTGCTCTTGGCTCCAAGATTCTTTAAGTCAGATTATTTTCGTCTTTCTTGTAGGAAATGACGTCGGAGACAGAGACAAAATCACAACAAACCCAGACAGTGCCCCCAAGGAGAAGAACCTGGCGGCGTGGAGTGTCCTGGCTGTCCTGTGCCTGCTTGCCCCGGTGGTAGGCCTGGCAGTGTGGGTGTGCAAGTGCAGAAGGCCCCGCTGTAGCTATGCAGGTAGACGGACCCGTGTTGTGGACGTTACCGTTTGTTCTGTTGGTGCGAACGTTTGCCTGCTTTCACGTCCGTCACTGATACGATTTCGCTTGAAACTTTGCTGTGGCAGCACTAACATGCATGAGCCTGAGCAGCCCAAACTCTCCCACGAAGTGGAGTTCACACCCTGCGTCTCTGACATTCCCGACACAGCCAAGCCAGACAGGCGCTTCGAAGCCGGCCCCGCAGGTCGGGTGGGAAGGGTGGCTTCTGCATGTCAGGGCCAGGGTGGTGTCCATGCCCAGGGGAGCCTCTGAGGCTGCCTGGAGCACCCCCATGCTGTGGGTCCGTGACTCCGGCCAGCTCCGAGACAGAGCCCGGAGGTCTGTATTTCAGCCACGTAAGACACAGCAGCAGAACGCCGTGGAGCAGGAAGCCCGGGACACTGGCCGTGGTGATGGCCGGGTGGGGGGCTCGTCCAGACCCCCTCAAGGGTGGCGGTCACTGGAATGCAGGCGTGGTGGCCACGGAGTAGAGGCAGCCCCTGCGGGCTGCCCTGGCTGTCCCGGAAACATCTTCCATGGGGCTGGCTAGGCTGTGGAAGGGCCCCAGAGCCAGGTCACAGCATCTGAAGTGCTTCCCAGGCACTTCCCCTTTCAGAGGATCTTCCTCAAAAGCATGTGGCCTGGGAGCCCATCAGCTGTCAGTGCTTTCCCTGCCTAGAGCTGGGGCTTCTGGGAGTCTTCCGAGCTGGGCGTTTCAGGGGCTGCCGAGAGCTCAGGAGCCCCAGGGGCTTTAGGGACACCCCCGCCGCTGCTGCCCTGACCCTTTCGGTTTGTCCCCCAGGTGTCTGGGCCGCAAGGCCGGAGCCAGAGCTCACTGGTGAGTTTGCCGTGGGAAGCGGCAGGTTCTGGGGGGCCCGAGGGAGATTTGGCTGATGACTATCTTTCAGATTTTCAAAAACTTTTCAAAAGGCAGAAGTCCTTTGCCTCGAACCACTGTTGCTCCGGAGATGCAGGGAAGCCCCGGTGGCGCGCACGGCATTATCTGCAGCCTCCCCTTGGCATGGGCTGGCATCCTGGTGTGCGCTTTCCCGCACTGCAGTGGGATTTTCCCAGCATGCACGGGAGCAGAGACACACATGCTGGAGCCCTGTCCTCCCTGGCGCCCAGCCCCCACGGGGTGTCCAGAGCGGGTGCAGGCACTGCCAGCTTCTCTCTGCACCAACCGCTCTTGCAGCTCAGGCGGCTCTCTGTCCCCAGGGGGAGGTGTGACCCCCACAGTCCCGGGAGCAACACAGATTTGGATTCCTGTCCCAATTTGGGGAAAATGTCCACACAGGGTCACGCAGCTGGCAGGTGCCTCTGGCTGTAAGGGGCACTGGGCTTCCCAGGCAGGAAAGCTGGGCTCCCCACCATGGTTCGGAACCCCTCTGAGCCCTGTTTTTCACCCATGAGAAGCGGCTTCCCCAGGATGGTGGGCTCATGGAGTGCGCAGCCACCACGGGTCACCTGCGGACCCAGGCAAGCTGATGGCCGACTGCAGAAGACACACTTCCAAGGTCAGGTCAGCCCGTTCCAGATCACGCTGGCACACAGCTTGCTAAAAACACGGCCAGCCTGTTCCCACCAGAGCCAGACGAGGCGCCCTGTGCAGGCGGCTGTCTCCAAAGCTCTAAACCTTTTGTTTCCACCAAGTTGAGTCCTGAGAAAACCAACATCTGCCTGCAGAAGGGAAAGGGGCGTTTCATGTTCCTCTCTCTTCTTCGCTTCCTTTCCAAGGCCATGTTTGCCCGAGCTCACTGCCCAGAAGTGTCATCCACACCAAAGGCAAATGTCCCCAAGTGAGTGGGCTCACCATCGTCACCGGCAGTCACCCACAAGAAGGGCCTGGTGACGGGCTCCTCTCCACTCAGAGCAGGCAGGATTCGGCACCAGGCTCTTCCCAGCACCCAGACCCACTGGGGACGCGTGCCTTCCCATGAGATGCGGGACCCTGAGACTGAAGGAAAGGCGTTTGGTTGAAAAGGAGGACTGGGCATCCCCTCTTCCAGGACAGCGTCTGTGCTGCTGGAGTCTCCCGAGGGTGTTAGTGGGAGGCCCAGGCTCAGGACCCCTTCTGCCCTGGACGTCCCCGACCTGCCTCCCGCCCGGAGGCCACAGGACCCACGCCGGTGCGTGTCCACCAGCATCGGCAGTTGTCCACACCGAGGAGCCCTGGAGGGCATCGCTGGCCTCTGCCACGCTCCCTGGGAGGAACACTGGCCCTTGGCTGTTCTGGTGAAAAGCTGAGCCCCTTCAGAAGAGGCACAGATGGAGTTTGCCAGAAGAAAGGCTGTGCCAGGGCTGCGTTACGCCAGCAGCAGAGGCTGCCGGGGCTCTGCCTGGGGCCTGCAATGAGAAAGACACAGTCCAGGAGGGCTGGAGGTGCCCATGTCCAGCAGGTGCGGGCCTGGCGACATGGTCCCCAGAGTCCTGAGCAGCAGTTAGCTGCATGGAGAGGCATCACCTGGCGGCCGTGATCCCCCTTCCCACTGCAGCTGTGATCCCCAAAGCACGGGGTGGCTCCCCCCACCTCCACCACCGTCAGCAGCCCCACCTTGCTCAACCCTGAGGGTCTCAGGATCCTGCTGAAGACCTCTGCCCCCAGCACCAGGCTCCTCAGAGATCAACAGTCCCAAGGGGGCCCGGAGACAGGGTGGGCCTGTGCTGAGGGGTGCAACCCTGGGCCCTGACCGGACCCAGTGCCTTCCACGCTGGTCCCCGGAATGAATCAGCCGCTGACTGTCTCCAGGAGGGCTGGAAAGGACGCTGCCAGGTGACCCGGGGTGCACTCGCCCCAGGGAGATGGGATGGACGCCTGGCCTGACCCTCAGGATGCAGTGTCCGCCCCCCCCCCGGGCTGTGGGCCAGTGCCCCTCCTCCTCCCTTCCCAGAGTCACCTGATATTCCCGGGATCAGTCGGGGCCTGTGACAGCCCTGGTCACTTGGAACTGACAGCGTGTGAGGGCTGCACTTCTCAGACTCGGAACAAAACGAGGAGTGAGGACTCGTGGTCACAGTGAGGTTCCAGTACTTGTTACAAGCAATTGTTTTTCTACAAAAAAAAGTCCCCACCCGGACCTTTAAGTGAAGGTGACCAGGGCTCCACTCGCACTTTTAACATGCAAGCATTAGAAGATGTTGGTGTTTGTAAAAGAATAATTGTTGTCAGCGGGCATGGATTGACAGGGACAATGAGCTGCTTGGGTGTGGAAAGTTGGGGCGTTGGAAAGTGGGGTGTGGTCCCGCTTGCAGTGACTGAGAAGTGACTCCAGGATGGATCTGCAGGGACCCCCAGCGATCCTAAGCCCCAGGACTGAGGGTCATGCATCGCCACTCAGGCGTCCCAGGAGGTGCCCTGGGCCTGGTGACCTCACAGGCAGGTCGGGGACATCCCCGAAGGGAAACAGTCTGGCTCCAGCTTTTCCCGTTGGAGGTGGTTTTCCCTTACCAGGGGACAGGCAGGAAGGCTGCAGCTGCCCCAGGGGCCCCAGAAGCTTCTGCCCCTCATGCCCGGGGTTCGGGGGACACTTTGGAGGCTGCTGTCACCACTGTGCGTCCAAGGCCATGCCCTCCGTGGGTGGGTGCCCGTGTCTCACCCCCCTGCTGGTCCCCGCAGCCCCCTCCAAAGCCTGCATGCCACATCCATAAGACCACCCTGTAACGCTGCCCCTCTTAGCCCAAGACGGCACCTTCCCCTTTCTCCTGCACTGAGGACAGGCTGGGTGCCAGTGTCCTGGCAGCCACCTCCAGAAACCCAACTTAGAGAGTCAGATGCAAACCATGCCTGTGTCCTGTGGCTTCAGTGGGTGCAGGGAGTCTTGGACACGGCCAGCTCAGCTGCCTGTGGTCTGGGCAGGAACAGGGACCACTCCCGCTCAGGGTCCCCTGCCCTACACCAGGCTGTTCTGTCTCCCAGGGGACACGGGGCCAGGTCTGGAAGCATTGGGGGCTGTCAGAGCTGGGGGCTGTTCCTGGGCTCCCTCAGGTGGAAGCCTCAATGCTGTTAGCATCGTACTGGGCACAGGAGGGCCGCCACAGAGAAGCGCCCACTCACAAGTCCACAGCCCACGGTCTCCGCTCGGAGACCTTGCCCTCCCTGCACCCACCTCCAGACAAAGGTCCCGCTGCCCCAGGGCTCAGGGGAATCTTCCGGTCTGTGGAACCGGAGTGGGGAACTCTCGCCCCCCACACCACCCTGCACATAGTAGGTGTGCAGTAAACACCCACCAGCCAGGCTCCAATCAAGGCTGGCAGATGGGGTGGTCCCGTCCCTAGGTCCGCCCGTCCCTAGGGCGGGAGACAAGGGAGATGGCTGCCTGCTGGACCCCGAGCCAAGTAGCAATGTGCTTGTGCCTCAGTTTTCCCTTCTGTAAAGTGAGGCGCAGGAACTGGGTTCTGTCTACTGGGCTCTGCAGCTTGGACGCTCTGAAGACTGAGGGACCCATGTGGGGAGGGCGGCTGTGGCTTTGGAATAACCGTCCAGGCCCAGGCACCTCCAAGAAGGCCACCAAGCCCTGCCCATGCTGCAGGGGTGAGGCGGGGAAGGGGGAACCAAGAACCCAGAGGCCTCCTCTCTGCCTCTTCTCTTCAGTGACCAGAGGTGCAGCCTGAGCTCGGGAGAGGGGTTTCTGCCTCGAACCCCAGGGCACAGCCCACTTTTCCCAGGGAGGACCCCTGGGCCCCCTGCATTGCGCCAGCAGCGTGTGGGCTCACCAGGCAAGAACGACATTGAGCAGCTCCAGCACTGGGGGTGTGCAGACGAAACCAGCCAGCCCCAGGCAGGCCCAGGCCCTGGGCACACAAAGGCAGGGACTTCTCTCCCCAGGCCACTGCCGGTGCAGGCTGGACTGCTCTCCGTCTCCCTCCCCACTGTCCTCTCCCAACTGTCACCCATGCCTCCCTCTTCCACTGTCCTCCCTGCACTGCCTTCCCCTCACTCTCCCCACTGTCCCCCCCACTCCCCACTGTCCCCCCCACTCCCCACCGTCGCCCCTCCCACTCCCCACTGTTGCCCCCACTCCCCCCTGTTCCCCTTCCCACTCCCCACTATCCCCCCGACTCCCCACTGTCCCCCCCACTCCCCACTGTCACCCCCACTTCCCATACTGTCCCCCCGCGTGGACTTGGCCATGTCCTTCTGGGCCTCGCCGTCTGAGTGCCCCGTATGCCCCAGGCCTACAGCTTGCTCCTCCATCCCTCCCCGGGCTGCAGCTGGCCATGCAGGGAGCAAGCTCCAGCACCTGATGAGTCCTTCTGGGGGGGCCTCTCCGTGCCGCAGCAGCTAGGGACCTTGATGCCTTTGCACGACGCCCTCACGTGCAGCCTGAGGCCTCAGATGCCTGTGCACACCACTGCTCCTCCTCCTGACCCAGCCTGTCGGCATTAGGACTTGGTTTGGCCTCATTAGCCTTAGAGCCTGCAAGGGCTTCCTCCTGGCGGGCCTGGCCATAGCGGGGAGGGACCGCAGCTCCAGGCCACTCCACACCCGCTTCCTCTGGGCCTTCCGTGTGCCCTGACCCTCTTCGTTGGGTGACATCCTTCAGGGTACATTCAGCACCCCACTAAGGATAGGCCCACTGGTGGGACAGCCACAGATGCAAGGGAGGGGGATGAGCCTGTGTTCTCAGGCCGGGCTGTGGCCTGGGGGAAGCCACGGGTATGAAGACCGGAGTCTTCAAAGGGCAGACCTTCCACGGAGAAGCGGCCGCCCTTGTGACCAGCTGCAAACACAGGGGCACTACGTGGAAGGAGCTGGCGTCGGCCCACACAGGTGTCACCAGGCTCAAAGGCCCAGGCCGAAAGTCCTGCTTAGCCCCAGATACAATGCACTCCTGCTGTCCTGGCCCTCAGCAGGCCCCACACAGGCTAGGAGCACCAGCAAAGCCTGGCGACCCGAGGAGGGCCAGGCTCCGGCCAGGCTCCATCCAGGCTGAAGGCGGTCAGCGGTCCACCTTGGCCCAGGTAGAAAACGCATGGATTAAGATTTCACGCTGGCCAGGCACGGTGGCTCACACCTGTAATCCTAGCACTTTGGGAGGTCGAGGTGGGTGGATCATCTGACCAGCCTGGCCATCATGGTGAAACCTCATCTTTGAAAAAAAAAAAAAAGATTTCATGCCGACTCCAAAGGCATGAGACTTTATTTTATTTTATTTTTTTGAGCCAGACTCTCTCACTGTGTCACCCAGGCTAGAGTGCAATCTCTGCTCACTGCAACCCCCACCTCCTGGGCTCAAGCAGTTCCTGCCTTAGCCTCTCAAGTAGCTGGGATTACAGGAGCCTGCCACCATGCCTGGCTAATTTTTGTATTTATAGTAAAGACAGGGTTTCACCATGTTGACCAGGCTGGTTTCGAACTCCTGACCTCAAACATCAGCCCACCTTGGCCTCCCAAAGTGCTGGGATTACAGGCATGAGCCACGGCACCAGCCACAAGAGACTGTAGAGTCACAGGTCAGTCTTTCTTTCTTTCTTTCTTGCCTTTTCTTGCTTGCTTGCTTGCTTTGTCTTTCTTTCTTTTTTTGGGGTGGGGGTAGAGAATTGGCAGGAGAATTACTTTAAAAAACAAAACAGGCCAGACATGGTGGCTTATGCCTGTAATCCCAGCACTTTGGGAAACCGGGTGGATCACGAGGTCAGGAGTCAAGACCAGCCTGACTAAGATGGAGAAACCCCCCGTCTCTACTAAAAATACAAAAATTAACTGGGCACAGTGGCAGGTGCCTATAATCCCAGATACTTTGGAGGCCGAGGCAGGAGAATGTCTTGAACCCAGGAGGTAGAGGTTACAGCCAGTGGAGATCGCACCACTGCACTCCAGCCTGGGCGACAGAGCGAGACTTTGTCTCAAAAAAAAAAAGAAAAAGAAAAGAAAAAGATTTGCTACATTGTGACATCTCAAATGCAACAAGTTGTTTTCACTTGTAAGCAGCAAAGCTCAGCAGTGCCCGTAGGACCGCCCTACTCAGAGGCTGATGCACCTGCCTGCTCCCAGCACTCTGCCTAGGGCCTGGCATGTCCAGAATTTGCAGACACAGCGATTCCTTCCTGCAGCAGCAGTGCAGTTTGTGTAAGGGGCACCATGGCCAGGCCACACCGTGGTTCGGTCCGTGATGACTAAGGCTTCTTCTCACAGCAGGGCTGTGGGTGTGATGCCCAGGGCACACGTATTTGCACACGCACAGCACACAAGGGTTATCACCTGCTCAGCCCCATAAACCTCGATGGACAGGCAAGGCGGTTTGCACCCAGGACCCTGCCAAGAACTGCAGCTGACTCACCACCCTGGTATTGTGAGCTGCTGCCGAACAGGGGGTCTGGTGGCTTTAGTGGCCTGGGCTGTGGCTCCGCTGCCCCTGCCCTGAGTGAAGAGCAGGGTTCTCTGGGTGCTACTGAGCTGCTGTGTGGAGAGCTGGCCTTTGGGGTGATGAGAGGTTTTCTCAACCCGTCCTCAGCCCTGGGACAGCCAGGATCACCAGGTCGGCCCACACACACAGGCTTCTCAGAGTTCTCAGCTTGCACCGTATCGCCCTGGAATCTTGGAACCTGCGACTTCTCTCTCATAACTGATTGGGTTCTCTGTGTACCTTCCAATAAAACGTCTTCATTTGAAAGGAAAGAAAGTCCACATCATCTGTTTAGGAAGGGAGTTCATGTCACAATCCTTTTTATTTTATTTATTTGTTTATTTATTTATTTATTTATTTATTTATTGAGACGGAGTTTCACTCTTGTTACCCAGGCTGGAGTGCAATGGCGCGATCTCGGCTCACCGCAACCTCCGCCTCCTGGGTTCAGGCAATTCTCCTGCCTCAGCCTCCTGAGTAGCTGGGATTACAGGCACGCGCCACCATGCCCAGATGATTTTTTGTATTTTTAGTAGAGACGGGGTTTCACCATGTCGACCAGGATGGTCTCGAACTCTCGACCTCGTGATCCACCCGCCTCGGCCTCCCAAAGTGCTGGGATTACAGGCTTGAGCCACCGTGCCCGGCCCTAATTTTTTGTGTTTTTAGTAGAGACGGGGTTTCACCACGTTGATCAGGATGGTCTCGATCTGTTGACCTCGTGATCCACCCGCCTCAGCCTCCCAAAGTGCTGGGATTACAGGTGTGAGCCACTCCGCCCGGCCTCCTT